GTTCGACTTAGTAATACATTCACTGGTTGACTCTTGCACGTGCCCTGACCAGCGATGCAACCCACAACCTTGGCGCATCTGGAGGATGCTCTAACCCACTGAACTACCAGGACAGGGCTAAGGTCTGAGCTTTTTAAAACCCAGATGTCTCATGCCTAGAACACAGTATCTGTTTAGTAAATGTTTGATAAATGAATGAACATGTCCATGCTGAGCCTTTGCCAGAAAATATGAAAAATAGATTGTAGTTGAGGAATGTAGTTAAGAATAGCCTTCTCACCCTGGCTGGCATAGCTCAGTGGATTGAGCGCGGACTGTGAACCAAAGTGTCGCAGGTTCGATTCCCAGTCAGGGTACATGCCTGGGTTGCAGGCCATGACCCCCAGCAACCGCACATTGATGTTTCTCTCTCTCTCTTTCTCCCTCCCTTCCCTCTCTAAAAAAATAAATAAATAAAATCTTAAAAAAAAAAGAACAGCCTTCTCGCTTGTTCTTAATTAGAATAATATAATCTGATAAAATATTTCAACTTTAGGCTAGACATGACGTAAATCAATCTCTGATAGACCTGAGGAAACATTTATTAAAGGTCACTATATGCCAGGCTCTGGGTTTGACAATGGGTAACTTGTTGTGGGTTCAGATAAACAGAAAGGGTAGGAAATATACGTGATGATATTTTGCATTTCTATCTTAGGTAGAGTACATTTAAGTGCATTACAAAGCTTTTCTATTTTCAGACATTATCTCATTTTTCTGAAATATTCTCCACCTAGGAAGATTATTGCTCCATACATGATACATGCTGTGGAACCCGATGACTGCACAGCTTTCTAATTTCCTGTTGTTCTCTGTCCCTCATATCCTGTCGTGAATACACTCGCGCTGCTCATGAAGTCAGCTGAAACGACTCACACAGCCCAAGATCTGGGGTCTATATCAATTTTGAGTTCAGCACCAATGTTCAACGAATGTGACTGAGGGACAAATGCCCAACGGCAGCGGCTCCCCCGCAACTTGGCCCCCAGCCCAAAACACTGCCCTTCCTGTTTCAGAATATATCAGTTCAGAATTTATCACAGTGTGTTTTGACAATCTGGGTACTTATTCATACCCAGACAGAACTGCAGACTCCTAGAATAGCCAGGCGTGGATCTTACTCTTTCTCCTCACCTCAGCTGCTGGCATAGCACCTGGCTGACAGAGATTAGTTAATATTTTTTTGAATGAATAAGTCAGCTCATTACAGGGTAGCAAAAGACTAATTTCTGCCAGCATGCTCAGGGAGAGGCTGGATAGCTTTGGGGTGAGTATAGGCGCATGCATACGCATGTGGTGGAGGGGCTGGTCTCCTGTGTGGGAAACTCCGACTTCACTCTCTGAGGAGGCAGGTGTACCTGTGTGCTCATATGAGCACACACACACACACCTGCCCCAGAATCTTCCCAATCAGTAGCTGTCTGAACTTTTATCATCAGAGAGTCACATCTTTGGGTTATATATCATGTTTTCCTGTCAACAATGTCTTGAATCGGTGTGCCCTGTTACTACATAAATTTCAAAACTGGAACATCCCCAGTGTCTGATCTGTATCCTCCAGCGCTGACCTCCATCCCCCGCCCTTGAAAATCTCAGCTAGACCCCTGCTTGCTGTCTGTAATTTGCATTAAAAAGTGGATTGTTTATATCTTTTCAAATACATAGCTATATATCAAATAAGCTCTCTCAAAACATACACACCATCGTGTTTACAAGGGATTAAAATGCATCGGTCTGTTTAACCCTGTGAATAAATAATGACACTGAAAAGAAAAACAGAAACTTGATCACCATGAGAAGATCTAGTGAATTGACTCCTCGTGTTCAAAATTAGTTAAGTGAAGAGAGTGAATCAAGAATTTATTCTGCCTTCCCTATACAAACTGTACCACTGGGTAACCAAGATTTAGGTAAGGGAAAAGTCTGTCATTATAGAAAGAGTCCAGCAAGTTAGTGAAGAAGAAATGATAGAATTAGAATACCTCTTCCTAGGATAGAAGTAGAATGCAACCTCTAATGAATTGACAGGTTTATATAGTAAGCACCAATGGGTAGTAACATCACAAAATGAAAGGCAATCAGATATTATATGTCTCCTGATGGAAATATAAAATACCAACTATAATGAAGTCTGATCAGAGTTCTAGGTCCAACGAGCTACTCATAAGAAATTAAGAGAATGATAGACCACGTAAAACCAGCAAAACATAAAACAAAAAACCATGTTTATGAGGCCATCAGAATTTGAACACTGACCAGATATAGGATGATATTAAACAGTCATCACTTTTTGTAGGTGAAATAATGCTGATGTGGCTATGTTTAAAACATTCCTTATTTTTAAAAATGCATACTGAAATATTTACAGGTGAAATAATGTGATGTTTCGGGTTTAAAGGTACTTAAAAATAATGCAGAGGAGTATCAGGGGCAGTAGTTGGGCATATATATGAAACAAGATAGCCTTGTGTTGACAGTGAAGCTGAGTAATAGGTACATGGGAATGCATTATACCATTCTGTCTACTTTTATATATACTTGAAATTTTCCCCCCAAAAGGCTTCTATTAAAAAATTTATTAACACCTTCCTGAACATTCTGATATTCTTGTCCTGAAGATAGTCATCCCTCTCCCACACCTTGAGAGCATTTTCCTGGGAATTGCACAGATCCTGGGTGAAGTCACATTAATTCATAAACATCTCTTTATGAGCCAGCATAAAAGATTATTTCCTGGACTGCCTTTACTCCTGAAAATACTGAGTGCCTGAGGGTGAAGGTGAGAGAAAAGCTTGGAGGAAGGAAAAGGAAGGCTACTGGTGGGGAGGAGAAAACGAAGAACAATTTGCCTTCATTACAATTTTCCCAGGGCCTGTACTAGCTGGCACATACATCTCTGTGTGGGTTTTACTAAGAGAACTTTCACTTGAGGCGTGAAAAAAATGTTCGAATTCTGGACTCAGGTTAAAATGTCACAAAGCGTTCCCTTTTACGTTGTCTAATGTAAATATTTTCAGAAGGGGGGCCGCTTTTGTTTTGCTCAGTGAACCAATGAAAAGGCTCCTTGGGTGGAGCTGGGCACATTTTTGCCTGAACCTGGGAATAGTCTAGACCTGTCTGTAGGACTACGCAGATGTGGAAACCAGGAGAGTGAGGAGTCACCTCAAGTGCTTAAGAATATGGCTTTTTATAGAAGATCTCTGGAAGAATGCCAAGAAACTGGTTGCTCATGGGGAGGGAAGCAGAGGCACTTGGGATAGGGTGGGAGAAGGGGGAAAAAAAAGTCTGCCATGATTGTCACAGCCAGGTTATATTGCGGTTAGCGCCTTAAAATATATGATGACACTTTGCACACAGCCTTTTGTTAATATGACTGTACCTTTTATCTTGACATTTCACAGAAGACAGATGTCTGTTTGTTTATGGGTTCTTTTGCTGGGCCAGCTGCTGGCACCACCCGCTGTTTGCATATTTCTTTGGTACTTCCTCTACCCGCCCTCCCTACCCCGCCCAACCTCCAGGAATCTAATTAGGAGCTGGAGATGGCCACTGGAACCTACAAGACTTGGATCCAGTACAACCTGTGCAGGTGTGACATGGTACTGGGCAAAGCTCAAATTTTCCCAAAGAAGCACCCCTAGTAGCAGAGCCAAGTGAACACTCCTTGCTGGCTCCTGTTTCACCTTAAAAATTCAGGTGAGCCCTGACCTGTGGAGCTCAGTGGATTGGGTGTTGTCCTACAAATCAAAAGGTCCCTGGTTCAATTCCCAGTCAAGGCACATGCCTGGGTTACAGGCCAAGTCCTTCGTTGGGGGCATGTAAGAGGCAACCCATTGATGTTTCTCTCGCACATCCAAGTTTCTCTCTCCCTTTCCCTCTTTCTAAAAATAAATAAATAACATCTTTTTAAAAATTCAGGTGAATTTTGTGGTCTATGAATCACCATTTGTTTTTTACAGAACATGATCTTGTAAGTTATCATTAGGAGAAAAATGTCTCTGTGTTTATCCCATGGTCTCAAGTAGCCCTGCCCACTCTGCATGTCCCTGAAGTACTGAGTCCAGTTTTGTTTTTCCCTTTTTCCTCTTTTTATTGAGGTTATTATTTACACATGTTAAAATCCACCAATTTAAAATGTACAGTGTGATTAATTTCGGTAATTGTATACAAAGTGTAAATACCACCAGATCAAGATATAAAACGGCTACTCCATCTCAACATGTTTTCCATTCCCTTTTACAGAGTTGATTTTGGAGACACATAATTGAGTTCTATTTCTTCCTCCAACATCTGGCTCTCTGGGTTATTTTAGGAAAGTCACTTTACCCCTCTGGGTGTGTTTCTGCTCTTGTAACACGAACAATATAGAAACAGATTTGTTTCCAGGGGATCTTCAAAACTGCCGTGAAACGAAGCGTGGGGTCAAGGTGGGAATCTCAGCCTTGCGTCTCCATACTTGAGAGAGCACACGACGTCAGGGGTAAAAGCCCGTGGCACACGGGAAAGACTTGGGTCTCCATCTCCTCTCTTGCTGGTATGTAAACTTTTCTAAACGTCTGTTTCCTCACCTGCAGTATCAGACTTATTAGTAAGATCTATTTGCGTAGTGTCGTGAGGACGAAGTGAATTGTGTGGGCATGCTTACATATCGGTTGGTATTTTTATTAAAGCATAACATAAAGTCACTGCATTCAACCATCTCCTCTACTTCGTGTTTATTCAGGCTGAGTGCCACAATCAAAACAGAAGCGCAAAGCACGCCCACCCATTTACTCAACCCTGGCAGCCCCAAGCCTACCTGCCAACAAGTCTAAGTCACGGAGAACAAACGGGCACGTGTGCCTGTGCTTCCAAAGAGCCTCCCTAGGGGGCAGAATCGGAACCAAGAATTTTAGCTCCTGTCGTACAAGCGCGACGTAAAGCGGCTCTGCTTTACGGCAGTTTTCTTCCGCCGTCCGTGGTGTCAGAGGCTCCACGCTAGTGGGTAGAAGGGACAACTTCTGGCGGACAGCGTGGCCTTTGAAGGTGGACAGACTTGACTTTTCGCTATGGGTAAACGGAGGAGCCGGAGCCAGAGCCAGCTGCTCAACACCCTGACGAAAAAGCAGAAGAAGCACCTTCGGGATTTCGGCGAGGAGCATCCCTTCTATGACAGGTATGGAGAGGCATGACCAGGGCCAGCGCTGCCAGCGTCTTTTCCCGGTTGGAGCCCGCGTCTTCCCGTCTGGGTCCGCAGGTCTCCTCTGCGGTGGTGACGGGGCTGCTCCCGCCTCTTCGCATGGTTCCCCGGCGCCCGCGGTGCTCAGAGTCGGGCCCCGCGGGTGCTCATCCGGGGAGGATTCTGGCGGCCACCCGCCTGAGAGGTGGTTCTGCACGGGTCTTCTCCCGTTTGGTGAGCTTCTAACGTTGTGCCAGACCACGCTCCCGCAGTGCTGGGTGTCGGCTGGCTTTCTATGGTCAGAGAGTTTCTAAATTGATTTGTTTTTTGTTTTCTTTTAAGAATCGCTTGGGGCCCTCGACATCATCGATTTATCCAGTTAACATGAGGGAGGAAACTGATGTGTAGGTAGTTTGTGGGTTCCTCAGTCAGTGTCCAGACTCTCAGTTATGATCTCAACACCCCACCCTTTTGGGCCACTTTATCAGTAACTTAAAGGGATATTCTAATTAAGAAATTTGCTAGAAAAGGTAAACCTGAGGTTTTTTATTTGCCAAAATAGCCATCTTTTAGATGAGAGCCAGTTGTTGTGTGACTCCAGTATTTGTCATGTGACCTCGTGAAACTTTGTGTCAATTGTTATCTCTTTGTCATATTCTAACAGTCTCTGTCCCAGTGCATTTGTTGTGTTTATGTGACTGTAGTTACAACGTGTTTGTGATGGTATATTCTGCTATTTTCACTTGTACTTGTATCATTACACTCTTTCCCAACTGCTGCATACTTACAGTTAAAAAATGACCTGTTTCTTCGCAGGGTTTCTGGAAAGGAAGCAAAACCACAGATTTGTCAACTGGTATGTTTTATACCTTCTTTGTAATAGTTGGTCCTGGGTTGTCACTTTTAAAACTATATGTTAGAATAAAGTTTGGCTACATGTTCACCCTTTTCTATTTGAGATGTAAGCTGTTATTTTAGTAATATTGCTTCATTTTGAATGCAGATGTCCATTAAAATGCCATTGTGATAACTACAATAGTAACTAAAGTTTAAACTGCCCTGAGAGATCAGTCTATTAGAACCTGTTGAGGCTTACTTACCAGCCTGCATTCTTTTGTTGTATTGTAATTCTCCTGTTGCTTCTTTAAATGGGCCCAATGTCTGACAAATAGGTTAGGTCCCCTTATAGCCTAAAGTTTTATGTCAGCTTTCTTCCCTCATGGAACATAAGCAGGTCCAAGATGAAGAGCTGCTAGAGTCTTAGCTAGATTAAGTATTGTAAATAAATGTGATGCTGTGCTTGCTTGAATAGAATAGATAGAATTGTATATTTGCAGAAAAGCTATTTTTTATTTAGGGAAGTCTGAGTCTGTTATGCTGTTGATCTGTTGATAGTCACAGGGTAGCAATGAGAACAATATCGTTTTGTTTTTTAAATTCCTATCTTCTTTTTAGTCAGAGAGTTCAGATAGTTCAAATTCTGAAAGTGAAGCAGACAGTGAACCAGAACAAGTTTCTGGGTACCACAAACTACTCGCCACATTAAAGAATGTTTCTGAAGAAGAGGAGGAGGAGGAAGAGGAGGAAGAAGAGGAAGAAGAAGGCAGTGCTTCAGATGAGGCAGAAATGAACAGTGAAGATGGTGACAGTGATGCCAGCGTGGAGGAAGAGACAGCAGCAGCTGAGATGCAGGAAAGTAAGTGTCTCCCACGTGGGTTCATCGTCTGTGCCAGGAGCGCAGACAGATTGCCCTCTGGGCACAGTGCCCGGTGCTGTATGAGTGGGGTGGGGGGGGGGAGGTGTGTGGATCCAAAGCAGAGATTTTTTAACCTTGCTGGCCTCAGTGATACTTTGAGAGTCTGATGAAAACATAGGACCTTCTTACCAGAAAAATGCAGAAGTAATATTTTTGCTTAGAATTTCTAGGACTTCATCAAAGTTTCCCTGAGTCAGAAGAAACAGAACATAATTCTGCTTTTATAATGGTCTCAATTTATTAAAGAGATTACCATTCTTCAGAGAAACCTAGTTTAATGAAAAATAGACACAAATACACAAAAATGTTCAAGAAGCAGGTTTTTATGCAACAGCCAGAGATGTATGGTGTGAAGAGATGTCGAGTGCTCACACACTGCCAGGGAAGGCTTCGGAGAGGAGCTGGGATCGACAGCCTAAAGGGCCTTTTCTCACTAACTTCTAGGTGACTCTTCAACTTTAACACCATCTTTCTTGAGGTAGGGTTTGCGTGTAATAAAGAGTACCCATTTTAAGTGTATAGTTCAATGAATTTGGACAAAAGAATACATCTGTTATTACCATCACAGTGAAGATTCCAGAACATTTCCGATACCTCCAAAAAGTCCCTTCTTATCTTTTTTACAGTCAGTGTCCCAACCCTGGTATCAGGCAACCACTAACCTGCTTTCTCTCACTATAGGTTACTTTCGCCTGCTCTAGAAATTTATATAAATGGAAGCAGACAGTATGTGTACTCTTTTCTGTCTAGCTTCTTTGGCTCCTCACGTTGTGATTCATCCATGTCCATGTGTTATTAATTCATTACTTTTCATTGCTGTAGTAGTACTTCATCATCAGAATATATCTGGGGGACTCTTTATCTCACTATCCTAATGCCTATTGCAGCGTATTTTTCCTGGACTTTACAGTGTTGCACAGCATTCTTAGTATTTTAATTCATTAGTTTTACTAGGATAAAAATTAATTGTCTCAGACTTAGGGCGTTTTTTGTTTTGTCTTTATTTTTCTTTTCTGTTTTGGACTTTTCAAACTGAAGTGTGTTTTTTTAAATTATAAAAGTAATCTATATTTACTGTAAAAATTCAGGAAGGTGGTATAGTTAACCTTTACCCCCACCATTTTTGTAACCTGCCAGACTACCTTGTTGTGGATGTAATGTATAAAAGTACGAGCATGCACACATATTTGTGTGTATTTGTATAGTGGTCTCGTATATTTCTGTTACTTAATGTTTTTTTCTTTAATGATATACCATGGACGTTTTTCCATGTGTGTGACTGGGTTCACATTAGCTTTAATTAGATAGTATTCCATTGTAAATGTTATGTGGTAATTTAATTATCCCAGTGATAGAAAATGATGGAGTCACTTTTCCCAGTTATTTCTTATCATAAAGTCCACTGCTGTTTGACCATCTCCCATGTACGTCTCAGTGGACTTTGTTGGAACTGAGTCAACAAGCAAGCTTAGCCTTGAAATTTGTTTTTCACCTGAATTTGCTTAAAAGTAAGTAACAGCAATGAACATTGTGTCGATATTGGCTAAGGAGTTAGATTTCATTTGTCACCAGAAGTAGGATTGTATTGATGATTAAATAACTTTATAAAATATTTCTCAAAATTGGAGGTAAAGCCTTACCTGCTGACCCTGAGGGAAAAGATGGGGACGAGCCACCCGGCACATCACAACAGGAACCCCCGGAGGAGTTTACAGATACAAAACATGAGTCACTTTTCAGCCTGGAAACCAATTTTCTCGAAGAGGAAAGTGGAGGCAGCTGTTCCCTGAAAGCATCACAAGGTCAGAGCACAGTACGTATTATTTGAATTCATCAGGTGCTTAGTGCAGGGCTTGTGGGATGGTACACATGAAATCTCCTGTTATTGGAATGAGTAGTGCTAAAAACAGATGCTCTAGCAGCTAAATCAAGAACTGGGAAGAAATACCTCTCAAGGGTATTTTGTGCTCTTCAGTGGTTAGGTGGTATTGGGTGTTGGGGGGATGAGGATGGCTGGTTAGGAGAACAGACACCTTAAGAATGGTAGGAGGGGAAGCCAGTTTCCCAGGCCTCACATTTCCACAGTTGGGGTCGGGGGAAGACTTCTGATTTCCTTCCCAAGAAGGGAAGGAAGAGGAGAAATGCTTTACATTTTTCTTTCTCCTTTTCACTTGCTCTTTTTTGTTGGAGCAGTAATTTTCCAGATTTGTGAGACCCACTAACTAATCTGACTTTCCTACTACCATGGAGTGCCTCAGAAGCCGACAAGCTGCACTCCTTCTCCCCAGTCTCCTGTAGCCTCTTGGCCATGCCTCGGTCTAAATGTCCGTCACTTGGGCAAGGGCTGCCTGTGGTACACTTAGGCAAGTCTCTATTATTATCTCTCTCTCTCTCTCTTTCTCTTTTTCTCTGTTTTTTGTCCAGTTTGCTGGCCTGCAGCTGAGTAGGCAGGCCAGAGGGTGTCTTATTTTGTGTCCTGATTGCTTTTTTTTTTAGAGAGAGGAGACAGGAGAAAGAAAGAGGGAAACATCAGTGTGTGAGAGATACATGGTTGCCTCTCACACACTCCAAACTAGGAACCTGGCCCACAACCTAACTTGGAATCGAACCAGTGACCTTCTGGTTTGCAGGCTGGCACTCAATCCACTGAGCGATACCAGCCAGGGCCTGAGTGCCTTTTTTGGTCCCAGTGCTGTTCTTCAACCCAACTCTACCATTAATGAAGCTGAAATTTTAATTTGTCTCATTTGGTTCTGCTTGTCATTATAGTGGAGAGGGAGAAGCAGAGGTAGAATTTGAGCACAAACCTCATTCTAAACCATCCAATCTTATAAACCCGAAGGAAACATTAGGAAGCTTAGCTGTCCTCAAACATCTCTGTTTGTTTTGCCTGAACAGATGTATTAGCACCTAGAATTCTTATGTCCCCTTGCTCATGCTTATCTTGGGTATTAGTACGAATTGCATTTGAAGTTCTACCATTTGCATCCTTGAATGGTTCTTTTAACTTTGCTCTGCTTCTTAATGAGGGGAGTGGGAGAGAAGGCTGAATGGCCAGCTCAGAGCACTGAAGGGAACCCTGCGTGCAGGTGCTACCACGTGGATTGTTCGCTCAACTCAGCTGAGTATTGAGCATTTCTATGTGTCCTGCAACGCATGATGAATCAGACAGGCCATCCTCAGGGATCTTACAGTCTGGTGGGGGAGATAAGACATGCTCACATGTTTGGGGAGTTGGTGGCTGGGGAGGCAGGGTTGGGGATTATCTGCAGGGGGCCAGGAGTGGCCTCTTGGTGGAGCCAGCACTGTGCCTGACATAGTAGGCCCCTGGGAAATAGTAATTTGTGGTGCTCATACTATTTGGATATACAAAAATGAGGTAAAGGAGAGGATAGAATTTTTAATTGAAGGAAAGCCACCGAGGCAGAAGAATTTGAGGGCCGTATAATTCAGAAATTCAAATTTCAGAATGAGAAGTTTCTTCAAAGGTTTTTGAGCTGGGAAGTAACAGTTAGAGAAATGCTTTAGGAAAATGAACCTGTCGGAAACTTGCACGCTCTGAACTAGAAGAGAGGATGGGGAAAGTGGATGGGGGAAAGGATGAGTTAACGTGAAGTACAGCATGACATTCATTCTGTTCAAAGTGCCTGCTAGTTCCTGCCAATGTTCTCACATTTTTTATTTCCATATTAGATCCGTTTCTACAACATGTGAACAAAGAACTGAAAGAAAAAGAAATTCAGGCTGTTGCCACAAACCCCAAAACTGCCCACGAGCTAAAAGTAAGTGCTGCTTGGTCATCTCAGTCACAAGGAAGGAAAGCCCTAAGTAAAGCAGTGGTTTTGGGTTTTAGTGATCTTCCTAGACAGAGGGTATATGGCAGCGGTAGACGGCTTGATGGGGAAGCAGGGCACGGGGAGGCTGGAGGAGCCTTGTGGGGCACAGGTGTGGTGTGAGAAGGCGCCAAGAAGCTGGAGTGTGGGAGCCAGATGAGGTAAGAGTGTTTCATAGACCAGTACGCTGGCCTTGAGAGCAGCATCTGTGAGGGGCTGCTAATGTGACCTAACGCAGAATAATCTCCCTTGTTGGTCTTCACTGTTCTCATCTGTTCGAGGGGGACAGTAATGCCTACCTGAAATAAAGTAATTTATTGACCGATACATAGAAAGTGTTCAGCAAATCAGTAGCTACTGCTGTTGTCCATTTGTTTGGAATATTAGCTATGAGTTACAACTAAATTACTCAAATATGGAGCAGTTTTTGCTTTGCTTTTTTTTCCCCACCAATTGATGCTGTTCATGCGAATTGGTCATACTTTTTTAATTGGAATTTTTATTGAGATAATAATTATAAACGCACTTATAATAAATAATACCAACATGCCCTGTATGTCCTTTGCCCAATTTTTCCCAATGGTAACATCTTACAAAACAGTAGTATAGTGTCGTAGCCAGAAAGTTGACGTCCATGCAGTCTGCCCATCTTACTCACGTTTCCCCAGTTTTGCTCTTCCTCTATTGTGTATGTGTTTAGTTCCATACTGTTTTATCACACGTACAGATTCCCCCACCCATCACCGTACTCAAGGTGCAGGACACTTCCAGTACCATAAAGATCCCTGGTGTTTCCCCTCCCCCTTCTAGAAGCATGCCCACCTCCCTTGCCCCATTTCTATAATTTTGTCATTTCAAAAGTGTTTGAAAATGATTGTGGGCATCATATGACCTCCCTGAACCTCGGCGTTTCCTGCACTGTGTGAAAACAGCATTAACCTTGCAGGGTTGTTGCAAGAATGAAATGAGATGCCCTGTAAGTCACAAGGGGTCTTGGTAAATTACAAAGTGCTCTGCGAGTACAAGGCTGGAGTGTAAGGTGCCTATAGTTCATTTCTGACATAGCTCTTGGTCTTTCTCTCCTCTAGTGGCCCGTTCTGGGTCAGCTTGTCTTTTCATCCAAGTTTCAGAGTTTGGAGACATTTAAACCTCCAAAGGACCTTGATGTAAAAGCACTTCATCTCCAGAAGCCTCTAGAATCCACCTGGACCAAGACCAACAGCCAGTTTCTCTCTGGTCCCCAAAAATCCACCAGCCCCTTCACACCCCTCCAGAAGGAGCTATTCTTAATCATGAATTCCTACCGGGACTTGTTCTACCCAGAACGGACTGCCCTGAAGAACGGGGAGGAGATCCGCCACGTGTACTGCCTGCACGCGATGAACCACGTGCTCAAAGCCAATGCCCGGGTGCTTGGCAACAACAGCAGACGCCGAAGCCAGAAATTTGGGGTGGGCGACGATGATGACTTCAGGGACCAAGGGCTAACAAGGCCTAAGGTGAGTGGCAGCAGGAGAGCCTTGTCCTCAAGAAGGAGGCTGCAAGGCACTGCCTGGTAGGTGCCTGGCACTTATCAGGTACTCAGGTGCTCTAATGATTAGAGAGATGAGTGCGTCCCTCAGCGGGCATATCCGATGGACCACGTAGGTGGAGCAGTGCTGCAGACGGCTCAGTGGACTGCTCTTAAGTGGCTCTGCCTGGAAGCCTGTGTATAGGAGGTACCTCCGTGGTAATTCTCCTTTAAGATAAACCCTGAACATACATAAATAACATCGCTTTATAAATCTGCTCTTTGTGATTGTGGAGCTGCACGGGACCTTAACAAGCCTCTTATTTAATCCCTAAATGTTACAGCTCTGGGCTGAGACCAAGATCTGTAGGGGCTTCGCTAGAGAGAACCAGGAGAAGAGTAGTGGAGATGGGACAGGAACCAGAGATTTTCTTCACTAAGCCACATAAATATGTAAACCTTGGAAAAGAAAAATTCCTCCTTTTTCCTTTGTATAGTTACTCCTGCTTGAAATGATGATTATATTTATTGGGGCTCATAAGCCTAAACTCTGGGGACTTAGGGCTGTAATAGAAAACACGTTTTGTTTATTTATTATTAAAACAAAAATTTTTTAAAGATTTTATTTATTTTTAGAGAGGGGAGGAGAGGGAGAGAAACATTAATGTGTGGTTGCCTCTCATGCGCCCCCTACTGGGGCCTTGGCCAGCAATCCAGGCATGTGCCTTGACTGGGAATCAAACCAGTGACCCTTTTCCCCAGTCTGGCACGCAATCCACTGAGCCACACCAGCCTGGCCATAAGAAAACGCCTTTTAATTCTGCCTGTACTTTTCGTGATGTTATGGAGCTAGATCTTATGTTGGCCGTCCTTCCTCCCCCTTAGCCTATATGGCTCCATATTGAAGAAACCTCATCTTTTTAGATTGTTCTCATTGAGCTTAATAGGATCTTCCAGTTTTCATACTGATGTGGCTCTTAGAGTTCCCTAGTCCAACCCCCTTGTTTGACAGCTGGGGACACCGAAGCCTAGGCACTTTCTCAGTTTCACGGTGGGGCCAGTGACTCGGCCCTCTTCGCTCTCTGTTCATTGTCCCTGCAGTGGACCACTAACCCCGCGCTGGTCGTCTTTCTGAGAAACTACCTCAAAGTCTTGACCGTCAGGATTGTATGATTATCTGCTTCCATTTAGAATTGCAAAAAAGAATAAGAGACACGTTACCCAGGAAACACAGTTAGAACGTGGTGAATTGCATGATCTGATTTGGGTTATTTCCACTGATTATATTGTTTACAAAAGGGTAATTAGAAATTAATCAGGTATTAAACACCTTTTTTTTTCTATCAATAGTCATAACTTTGAGCATTTTAGGAAATATTTGAAAACTAAGTCCTATATTTCCCATTAAAATATAATCTTGTTTCAGAAATACTTTATCATTATTTCTGAAAATGTACTACAGAATGTACTAGAAAAGTAGTGATGGGTTAGTCCTTTTCCTCACCAGTTTTGTTCTCTGCTTGTTACATCTAACTCATTTTTTATTTGGCATATATTTGTTCTTGGGTTCTTCTGTATAAAAATACAGCACTGAGTTTCATGAATGACAGAAGTGAGTCATGTTCCTTGCCCTCAAAGAGCTAATGTGTTTACATTGTTGAGTTTTTGCTGGTAGACTCCTCTGTTAAAGGCATTGACTTAGCCTAAAAGGCATTTCCAGATTCTGCTTGAGAACTGCCTCCTACGGAGCCATGAGACTAAAATCCACAGCACATGGCCCTGTGGATGTGGCAGGTGCTCAGCTTCTAGGACTCAGTCAGATTCCGTGCAGAGGGGTTGACGCGGGTGTGGGCCCTGGCTGGGGCCGCTGCTGTACGGAGGGCTCATGAGCGACACGCCCTCAGCAGGTTCACCTCAAGGGGCCTTTCCTTCCCGTTCCCCACCCAGGCTGCCCGTTGCTTGCTTCCTCCACAGGTGCTGATAGTGGTCCCGTTCCGGGAAGCTGCTCTGCGGGTGGTGCAGCTCTTCATCAGCCTCCTTGAGGGTGACAGCAAGAAGAAAATAATTGTGAGCAACAAAAAGAGGTTTAACAGAGAGTATGGCTCAGATCCTGAGGAGAGACCACCCAACCTGAAGAGGCCCGAGGATTACGAAGCTGTGTTTGTTGGCAACATCGACGACCACTTTAGGATTGGTAACTGCTCCTGGTCAAAACTGAGACCCCGAGGGACCTGAGGTGTGAGGTGCACAGGGCTGGGGGCTGGGAGCCTGAATCAGGCATTCTTTCAGTGGGTCACTGACTCAGCCGCCTCACAGAACCAGAGTGCATTTGAGATGTCTCGTCTGCTGGTGGGGCGAGTCGTGCCGAGGCTGGTGGGTGGAGCATCTCTGAAGGTGCACGTGGAAACATGCAGACTGCAGCAGAGATGTTTCAGCACACCCTTCTCTGCAGCACATAGTCGGTGCTGCAGGAGTTCTCGGGGAGCTGGAAGTGGTGGGCCGAGGGGCTCGGTCTGGGGAGACTGAATAAACTGAGCGTCTGCATAATGGCGGCCTTCCCTCCTGCCTGCCATGCAGAGTGCCTGCCCCTCCATTGCCGCCCCACAGGACTTACCCCCACTCCACTTGCACGCTTCTGCTTGTCTCTCATTCAGCTTGGTTGGTTGGACATTGATAGAGTGAAGTTCTTGGAAAATGTTCATAGGTCACATATGTTCATTCATCAAGCATTTATTAAGCATCTACTGTGTGCCAGGCACTGTTAAGAAACTGGGGATATAGAGATAAAAGTTGTCCAGCTTCCTGTGGAAGCAGTACAGAGTGGTAACTGTTAAGCTCAGAGGATGCAGTGGGTGTTCTGGGAGCATTTAACACTCTCCTCACCCAGCATGGGCGCAGGGTGGTTAGCAAAGGCCTCCTGGTGGAGGTGCCATCTGTACTGAGTTGAAACCTGAGTAGCATTTATCCAGTTACAAATGGAGGTGGTCAGAGTGGAGGAAAAGGTTTCAGACAGGAAACCGCATGTACAGAGCCTCAGGGTGAAGAAGCCAGGTGTGACCTAAGATTCACACAGGCATCAGCGTGGCTGGAGTGTAAGATGCAAAAGGGATAAGAGCTGATGTTCAGTTTTAAACTTGTGCAGGTCTCATCAGCGTGGAACTCAGGAAAGAGAGGTCATGTGAAGGTGATGTTAAAACCGTGGTTAGTGATACATTTCCCCAAAGCTTTATGTAGGGTGAAAGTAGCACTTGAGGGTGAATCCAGGGATTTGTGGAAGAGCTGTTTGGATCTGGAGAGATCAATAACGGCCAGGTCATTGACAGAAATGGAAGTGAGAATTGAAAACCACCAGTGAGGGAAAGAATATTTCACGGAGGGTATGTTCAAAGTAACGCTTATGCATTCATGACAGGAAACACTGAAGTGCCATTGCATTGGTAACCGAGAGCCACTGGTGATCTTAGCAAGAGCCGTTTCAGAATCCTGAGCATCCGAGGCCAGATTGTGGTGCATTGAAGAGTGTGTGGGACATTTCAAAGTAGAGACAATTTTCTGGAAAAGTTTGGTAGTCAAGGAATGGAAGAGTGGGAGCTGGAAGGGACCACAGGTCAAGGAGGGGTGATGATGATTTTAATGATCAAACCAATTTGAGCATGTTCATGTGCTAAGGGGAAAGATTTAGAAGGAATAAGCGTGGGGGTGCTTTCAGAGGGGGGAAGCCAAGGGCTGAGTGGTGATGGCTGGACCGATATGTACTGGCTGTTTCCTGCAGGTGTGGCAATACTGCAGAGAAGCGTCCGGCTATATGCCCCCTTTTACTCCTCGGACATCCTCATCGCCTCCCCTCTGGGCCTGAGGACCATCCTCGGTGCAGAAGGGGAGAAGAAGAGAGATTTTGATTTTTTGTCTTCTGTTGAGCTTCTCATCATCGATCAAGCGGACATCTACCTGATGCAGAACTGGGAACATGTCCTGGTAATGCTGGTCATTCATGTCCAGAGGGACGCGAAACTCAGTGGTTTAAGTCCTGCAGGGTTGAAGTCCAGATTGAACTGCAGGTAGTTGGGAAACAGGGAAATCGTCCACATTTCCTAATTTGAAATGAAAAATATTGTCCTCTCTTCTACCCACAGATGGGTCAGTAAACTATCCAAAGGGACAAAAATTCTCGGCAGTATTTTCGAATCTCCAGAAAAGATCTCTTCCCCTGAAAGACTTCTGCTAATAGGCCACTCTAGTGTGGCTGGGTGGTTGAAAATCCTTCCCACTAGGAATGTCTTCATCTGACCTACTTCCTCTTACCGTTTATGCTCATTCCTTTTTGTTTGGTTTTCAGTGGAGGGGGGAAGGCATTGCTCATGGATCTTGTTTTGCAGAGAAACGTAGGATGCCTTAATCCCCCTACTGTAATTTGTGCAGTGCCTTTTATCTTTCCCTCTCCACATACTCTGTGCTGTTGTCAGTTTTAGGGTTAAAAACCTGTGCTTTGGAACAACCCTTATCACAAAACTGTAGGCTTGTGTTTTAAGGCGAGTGAGCACTTACCTCCTATAGCCCCAGGGCTTGCAGGGAGTTTGGGACAAATAAAGGGAGCACTCACTTATAAAGTGGGGGACAGATTTGTAGTAGTCATTACCCTTCAACACATATTACGAGGTAAAGATATAATTAGAATGGAAAAGCTGTGTCAGTGATTGTCATAGTCTCTTCTTGTCCTCACCTGAGGACATTGTTTTTTTCATTGCTTTTAGAGAGAGAGGAAGGGAGAGGCAGAAAGAGAAGCATCAATATGAGAAACATTGATTGGTTGCCTTCTCGAAAGCACCCCAACTGGGCATCGAACCCACAACCTGGGTATGTGCCCTGACCTGGAATTGAACCCGCGACCTTTCGGTCTGTGGGATGATGCTCCAACCAGCTGAGCCACACCAGCCAGGGCGGTTGTCATAGATTTTAATTTGAGGAGAAGACGTGTCATGGCTCTGGAAATCTCTTCATGTTTTGAGAACATGACATTGAAGGCCACTAGCTCTGTTTTCCATGTCATTGTCCTTTTTGTCCAAGGGGGGACTGAAGAACCCACAGAGTGACCGGGGGGCATGTCAGAAGGTCCTTTTAAAGGACCATGTCTGTAGGTATCATTTTGATCCTCTTCAAAAAGTCCTAGAGGTGGCCAACCTCAGCTCATCATGTTGTTGTGGCTGACTATGGACAAGTCAGTCACTCGTCTGAGCCTCAGTTTTCCTTGTAATTTGGGAGATGACAGTGTGTACTCTACCCATGGGGTTCAATGAAACGGTAGACTGGTAAAACGCTTAGCAGTGCCCCGTTGGTAACGCTCAGTATATACTAATGGTAGTGTTATTTCTGCTGAAGCACTTGATGAACCACATGAACCTGCTGCCGCTGGACTCGCACGGGGTGGACTTCTCCCGAGTGCGGATGTGGAGCCTCAATAATTGGTCCAAGTGCTATCGCCAGACACTGCTGTTTGGGGCCCTGCAGGATGCCCAGATCAACTCCGTGTTCAACAGGTACTGCGTCAACGTGGAAGGCCAGGTGCGTTCTCTGCTCTGGGCGTTCGTGAAGCGTTGTGTATTGTTTGGGTCGTGAGGTGGAAGGAGAGGAGGGCATTTGGTCGACAGTGGGGACAGCTTGCCGCCTAATGCTCTCATCGACTTCCGGCAGGTGGCCGTGAGGAACGCCCCGATGACAGGCTCGATCAGCCACGTGCTGGTGCAGCTCCCACATGTCTTCCAGAGGATGGAAGCCGAAGACCTAGCTTCAGTGATTGACACCAGGTACCTGTCCCTCCCACCCGTCACACACCTGGGGACCACAGAGGGGGATTCAGAGCTCCGGTCCGTGCTGGTTTGTAGATTACCATTTACCGAGTGAAATGAGATCATTGTCCCTCACTGAGCATCGTCAGGGGAGCAAACTGACGCCCAGAGAGGAACGGTGCCTTGGCCTAGTGCTCACAGCTGATCAGTGGCAGGGTTCATACAGTAGATCGGGGTCCTTCCCCCAGACCGTGGCATTCTAAAGTTGTATTACACTGCTTCATGCTGCGAGGTATCCCCGGTCAGCAACGGAGCTGTAAGCTCCTCGGGGTGAGAACTATTTTTCTTTTCGTTTTTTGTTGTTAAAGATTTTATTTATTTATTTTTTTAGAGAGGAGGGAAGGGAGGGAGAAAGGAAGGAAGAGAAACATTGATGTGTGAGAGAAACATCGATCAGTTGCCTCTCGCATGCCCCCAATTGGGAGGGACCCTGGCCCTCAACTCCCTGGGAATCGAACCAGCGACCTTTCGATGCCAGTGGGATGAGGCTTGACCCACTGAGCCATGTCAGTCAGGAGAAGAGCTGGTGTTCTGATTCTCTGCATTTGGCCCGGCCTCCTCACGGTGCTCAGCATGTGGGAGGTGTTAGCGAGCACTCGCTGACTGACTGGTGACAGGCGAGTGACAGACCTAGTGAATGAACGAGTGCGTGGGGTGCTTGCAGAGCTCCTGGAATAACTTTCTGGGGTAGCTGCATTGTATGTGTCCTTCATGGTGAATGGTGTCAGCGCTTACTTTTTAAATGTGCTTATCAGCGTTGTTCCTAGGTGACCTCTTTGCAGTGAGGTAAGCCCCACTGGCCCTTTTGGGGGTGTGGAGGGAGAGGCCACCTGCCGGGGTCGCTCAGTGAGTAGCGACGCGAGGGGCCCCAGACCCGCGCTGACTTTGCCCTTTGCCTCTCCAATCAGGTTTCACTTCTTTGTGAACAAGATTTTGCCTCAGTATCGTGACGCAGTCATGTCTCACTCGCTCATCTATGTCCCCTCCTACTTCGACTTTGTGCGTCTCCGAAATTACTTCAAGAAGGAGGAACTGAACTTCACGCACATCTGCGAGTACACCCAGAGGTCTGGCGTCTCCAGGGCCCGGCACTTCTTCCTTCAGGGAGAGAGGCAGTTTCTGCTCCTCACAGAGCGCTTCCATTTCTACAAAAGGTAAAGTCGTGATGGGTTTGGAGCATAGCCTCTGAGTGGGGCCTGGGGACGCTGAGCAAATCACGGCCTGCTCCTGAGCACGCGGCGCATGGCGGGTTTCACAGAGTTACAGGATGCTTCCCACTCTGCCTCCTGCAGAGAAGCCAGAGAGTCTGGGGGCTGGCTGAACTCTTCTTCGCTGGCTGTTTTCCTCCCGGAATGGGCACTGTTGGGAAGGCTGTGGGAGTGCCAAGTGACTGCGGCACAACCCGTGGGTAGACCTGGAGTGGGGCGGGCCCTGTGCAGGCTCTGTCCGCAGCTGTGGGCGTACACCTCAGGAAAGACCGAGTCGAGCGACTCTCAGCTGGGATGGCACACGCGAGTTCAGGGAGGGGAGGGGCCTGTGGGAGAAGCACCAACACCGACGGGGGCTGTGTAGTCTGCTGGGGGAGGGGCCGAGCACAGGGCAGGGTTTGAAAGCTCTGGTGTGCCCCGGGGAGGTAGGCACACACTTGGTCCTCACCCAGGAGAACCGGGACCGTGGGCCCCTGGATGTTCGCGGGAGGCAGAAGACCGGGGGCTTAGAATTGGATATTGAAGCGTTTCAGCCTTTGTTTAGCTTCCCTACCCTGGGACTTTGATAAAGTAAGGGAGATTGGCCTTTTGAAAAAGTTCTCACGGGAGCGTTGGTCATACTGAGCCCTCTGTTACTGTTTGGGGTAGTCACTGACCGTCGCTCCCCCACTTGTTCCCCCAGTTGTTCTGCTCATCCTCCCTGCTGCCAGACGCAGAAGCCCTGTCTGCTCCCTCACCTCGGGAGAGGTGGGTGCCTCGTCCTGCTGCCCCTTCCTTTCTGAGCCACAGGAACGTGCAGTGAATCTAGGTTTGGACTTGGCTGTTTCATCGACTCTCAGTCATATTTGCTAACAAGGGGCGTGTTTTCTCAGAGGATCCCCAGCATTAGAGCCAGGAATCTTCCAGGCTTCGGAGCACATTGGACGCTGCACTTCGGCCCGGCATTGCTGATGTGCTGGGGTTAGGATGGTGCCCCACAGACATGCTCTCCTTACCGAGATGGGGAGACGGGAACCCAGCAGCTGTCCGGGCAGAGCAGGCAGCCCCCACCTGACCTCTTTGGGTTTCCGCTGACGGGGTGACCCAGGAGTGGAGAGCTGAGAAGCCACTACAGCTGTGTTCCGTGGGCTCCCTCCTGGGGACAAGGCTGCTGGCCCCAGAGTGTTAGTGAGCGCTCGCTTGTTGACATCATGCACTTTGTTCCAGCCGGTTGTTTCTGTTCACGTCGGAGAGTGGAGCTTTGGGGGGGTTTGCCTCCGCAGGTCTTAGGAGCCCTTAGTTTCCTGTCTGCTCGACAAGTGAAAGCAAGCCCTCGCCGGGAAGGGGGTGCACTGGAAAACCGCCCAGTGTGACTGTCTGGCCAGCCCGAATTAGCTGGGATGAGGGCTGCTCTCAGAAAGCAGCTTCTCAAGGAGAGGACATGATGTCCTACTTAAGAGAAAGAGCTCCTTTCTCTTTCTCTCAAGTAGGCAGGACAGTGCCCTGTCTTACACTGTTCATTTATTTACCAGACCATTTTGCCTGTGCAGTCATTACAGAGACACACCTAGCGTGACCTAGCATGTGCTGTTCGCTTCATAGCCTACACCAGGTTCATGGGTGTAGCCCCTGTTGAAGGTAAATGGAAACAATGTGCTTCAGAGTTCTGTAGCTGCCAGTTATCGCAGGGTTCCAACCATAGAAGTTTTTGCTTGAGAGATCACCAAGGTGATGATGGGTGCTTTGACCTGCAGTGCCTTTGTAATTTGGTTTTATTTAACCTTAGGAAAAGGGCATGTGTTTTAAATGTTACTATCCAATTCTGAAATTACATATATATATATATATATATTCTCCATGGAAGTAGGCAGTGTTAGAAATGTTATAATTTATTTGTGAAGTAGCAAAAATACTCCAGCCTGAAGATTTGTTTTCTCTGGGGGAGATGAAACCAGGAGAATCTTAGAATTGGGTGGGCATTTGGTAGAGATGGCCCCTCCTAAGGAGAGAGAGGTTCACCGCTCTTTCCTGGACACTGTCTGTGGGTTACCGCAGCAGGGGGCTGTCAACCAGGGGTGAGCCAGAAACTCCAGAGTGGGATCTGTGGAGCTGGGAAGGACTGCTGGGGCGTTTCGGAGCACCCTCTGCCCTTGTATGAGAACTGGCCTCCATACTCATAGGGCAGGGAGACACCAAAGGAAAAGGCAGATTGGTGGATGGCAGGTTTAATAGGCAAGGGAACTTACATACAAGGCCTGTCTGGGGCACCCATGGGAGGAGCAGTTTCCACGTCTGCCCCCAGAACCTTAGAGGTTCATACAGAGGCCCTAACAGGGGTCAGCCTCGTGCCCAGTCTGGGGGTATCAGTCCCACATCTCTGTCTCGGGCTGTATCAGTGGGGCAGCTCTGGGAGCAGGGAAAGCAGGAGGAGCACACGGTCCAAAGCACAGAGGAGGGGTGAGGCGCCTCCGTTTGCCCGAACCAGGGGTCACGTCTGCTTGATGACCTTCCCCAAGAAGCATGTAGCTTCTAAAAACAAGAATATTCTTTTATGCAACCACAACACCATTATCACACCACTTGGCATTTGTACAGCTTCATCCAATATATAATCTCTATTCAGATTTCCCTGGTTATCCCCAAAATGACCATTGTAGCTCTTTCCCCCTAACCCAGATTCAGTTAAGGCTCATGTATTGCATTTGCTTAACGTGTTTTTCATATCGATCTTAGTTCTCAAGTGGGGAGTCAGTTTTCTTCTCTATCTTAGTTCTCAAATGTCTCTTGGGGAGTCAGTTTTGCTCCCAGGGGACATCTGGCAATATCTGGAGACTTTGGATTGTTGCAGCCGGGGGGCTCTTCTGGTGGTTGAGGCCTGGGTGCCGCTGAACCTTCTGCAGGGCACAGGGAGGCACTGTCTGCCTCGGAAGGTCAGTAGTGCTGAAGAACCGCGATCTAAAATAATTCTCTTTTTCTTTTTCACGACGTTGGCATTTTTTGGGAGTCTAGTCGAGTTTCCTATAGAATGTCCGGTAGTTTCAATTGGTCTAATTGTTTACTTATTTAAATAACTGGTTCCCAAACTTTGTTGTGCATTAGAATTCCCTTGCAGTCTTTAACAACCCAGATGCCCACGATGTGTCTCCGGACCAGTCACATCACAGCACCCAGGGCTGGGACGGAGCACAGAAACTTCCCTAAACAAACAGGGGTTTCAGCCTCCAGCAAAGTCTGGGAACCACTGGTTTAGATTAAACATTTTTTGGTGAGAATTCTACGTGGAGGATGTTGGCATCTTCCTATTGCATCTCATCAAGAGGCACAGTGTCCATTTATCCCATTTGTTGTGATTCTAAATGAAATCACTTGGTCAGGGTGGTTCCGTTCTCCACCCATCTCTGTTGTCAATGTAACTTTTCCGTGTAATTAATAAGTAATCGGAGGAGCGTGTGTTGCATTCTTCTGATGGCTCCATAGCATTGCACTATGTGGATGTATAATGAACCCAGTTTCCTTTTCACGGGCACATAGGCTTGTCCCCTCTATTTTGTGCTATTATGTACAACAATGCCAAGGACATCCATATGCTACTTGGTGACATAGTTGCCTAGGCAATTCCTTAGGATCCGTTTGGAAAGGAAAACTTGTTACCTCAAAGGCTGTACAGAATTAAGAAATTTGCTGTGCATTGCCACTGATTTACTCCGTCCCATCTTCCCTTTACCTTTGTCTCCCCCGGCACCCAAAACATACAATAATTTATGTATTTCACTGGCCTTTTTCTGCCAGTCACTGGACAAATGATAACGTCATCGTTTTAATGTCCTTTTCTTGCTTTTTTGTGTTTTTCGTACTTGTCAGTTGAACATAGAGACTGAGGTAAGTAGCACTTGTGTCCGGGCACACCTCACTGTCACACCACTAGCGTGGGAACTGGAACCAATGGGGATTCGGTTGTCATGATTGTAACCCTCGGTGCATCACCTATGTGACATCCTGCAGCAGACAGTGAGTTCGTGCAGGGCCTCGGTGGCGCGGGGCCTCTCCTCAGTGTCTGGCTCTCCTCTCAGCTCTCCCCGAGGCCTGTACCCCAGTGCCTGAGTGGGGGGTGTCCCCACACTCCTGCTTGCTACTGCCTGCAAGCCTGGAGGTGGGAGAGGGGCTTCTTGGGGTCCAGTTTGGTTTCAGGCACGCCCTGTTCATTCTGGGTTTTGGAGGTGTGACTCTCAGCGTTCTTGCACACCCGCCGTGGCAGCCAAACTCTTGTGTCTGTGAGCTGCCTTGGTGTCCGAGAGTGCCTGCTTCTCCAAGGTGGCGGCAGGCCTCCGCTGCATCCGTGGGACCTTGGGCTGAACAGGTTTTGTGTGCTTTCCCCAGGAACAGGCTGCTGTTGCTTTGTACCAGGTGTGAGTTGTGGGGATGGATGGAGTTACCCCTCTACTAGGGGCGGGTGACTCTTGTTTCACCTACTGTCCCCCATGAGCAGGTGACCTCTGCCCTTCTCCTGTTGGCTTTAGCCTTTTGCTTCACAGAAGATATGGGTCTGGAAGGTTCCGTAGAAGGGCTCCTGTCTGCCCCACCAGTGGGGGGTCTCAGGTCTTCTGCCCTGCCTCCGGCCCTTCCCCAGGGCTCCCAGTGGGGGCCTGCAGAGAGAGCCCCATGTGAAGGTGAACTAGAGGACTGTCCGGGAATCCCGAGGACACTGGACTGGCATCTGAGCCCATGTTCGCCAGCCATCAGAATTCCTCTATGGAAAGGTGAACCAGAAGGGATTGCGGATACAGTTTGAAAGAGGAGGGTCCTCAGAGAGATCAGGATGAGCCTGGGATGAAAAGGCAAGAAAGCTTATCCTCTGTGAGTAAACAGAAATTCCCAGGGAATGGGGGAGTCTAACCAGAAGAACCAGAACCGCATCAGCTATAAAATCTTTTGTTGTGGGACCCCCAATGGAATGATTGACCTTGACCCGAACCATATGGTGAGTCCCTAGGGTCTACCCCCTCCCCACCAAGCAGCACCGAGCAGCAGGGAAAGACGTGCACAGGCTGTTGAAACTAACCGCCTTCCCACAATGCCTCATGGGTCCTCAGGCAGGATTCTGCAAAGGGATGAACTTGAGACATCTGCCGTGGAGTTAGCATGTCTGCGGAGTGACAAGAAAAGACTAATAGGAATGCAGTCACAGTTTTTGCCTTTTTTTCATGGACTGGCTCTGACCTCATCTTTACCGAACATTGTGTTTGCCTGGTTGCAGTAAGGACAAGGTCAGATTGGAAGTGCCTGCGTTGTGAGGTTTCTCTGGCAGACCTGTCACCCTAGGTCTGCCATGTTCCCCACCCACCTCAGTCCGCCGGAGTAGGCTCAGGAAATGCAGTTTATTTTGTCATGACCTTAAGCCAGATATTAGGAATTCAAATATGTGGTCACAAAAATGAGCCCTTCAAGCTCAAGCGAGAATAACCTTTGATCTTATTTGTGCCATTGTCTTCGTCCCCGAGCACGAAGCGGCAGGGGTGCACTAGCCCCTGCGGATCCCCAGGGAACTTTCCATGCATTTTCCCAAGTAGACACAGCCTCTCTTTCCCTTCTGACAGGTACACCATAAAAGGCATCAGGAACCTGATTTTCTACGAACTGCCGACCTATCCCCACTTCTACAGTGAGGTCTGTAACATGCTGAGAGCCAGCGCCGGGGGAGAGGAGGCCGCCTGGACCTGCACCGTGCTCTACTCCAAGTACGACGCCCAGAGGCTGGCCGCCGTGGTGGGTGCGGAGCGGGCCGCGCAGATGCTGCGGTCCCAGAAGAACGTCCACCTCTTCATCACCGGAGAGAGATGAGGGTCTGGCGTGGTGGGTGATGCCTGGTTCCGTGCCGCGTGGACCCAGTTCTGATACCTCCGCAGGAGGAGGGCTGCTGCAGGGAAGGTGCGCCGGGCAGCGACACGTCCCCGAACAGTGCAGTGCAAACCAAACTTCGGTGACTCCCATCCTGCAGCGGTCAGGAGGGAGTGGATGGAAGGAACTCTGAGAAGTCGATAAAGGAAACTTCTACTTGTGAATTTTTTGTAAACCACAATTTCATTTATTGTGATTTTACCTATAAGTTATTATACTTGGTAAATTTGTTCAGATTTGCCTATTTCCTTTTGACACTTTCTTAAAGTAAAGCATACATATTTTTGCTTGTGAGAGCTGATGTGAGAAATTGGAATACTTCTTGCTGCTGAATATCATCTTAATTTTGGATTGCACAGGTTTTATAGAACTATTTTTTCCCCAAACTTTTTAAAACTGTAAATATTCTATTTTAATTCAACGTAGAAGAGCACATTCATTCACTGATTTTTCAAACTCACCATAGTAAATGTTTTAGATAAAATACACTCGAAATATTATATAAAAAATCAATTTCTATTTTTTCAAAAAATAAATTTGTGAAACTTTTTTTAAAACTTTCTTCTTTCTTTTTTCCTTCTTCCTTCCTTTCCTTCTTTCCTTCTTTCCTTCTTTCTCTCTTTCTTTCTTTCTTTCTCCCTCTCTTTTTCTCTCTCTCCTTCAAGGGAGAGAAGGAGGGAGAAAGAGCAGGAGAGAAACATTGATGTGAGAGAAATACTGACTTGTTGCCTTTTGCACGTGCCTCGACCAGGGACTGAACCCGCAGCCCAGGAATGTGCCCTGACTGGGAATCAAACCAGAGACCTTTCAGTTTGCGGGGTGATGCCCAGCCGAACTGAGCCACACCAGCAAGGAACATTTTGTGAAACTCTTGATGTTGAACAATCCATCTTCAACACCACCACCTTTATCGTTAGTGATTTTTAAAATCATATAACAGATAAAAAGGAAGTGGCACCTTTAAAAACATTTTTGTTTTGAAATATTTTCAAACAGAAAAATTAAAAATACAGAGCCTGAACCATTTGAGAGTAAGTTGCCGACTTGAGTAATGGGCCTATTACTCTTTAAAACCACCCCTGAGTTTAGCATGCATTTCCCATAAACAAGGACAGTTGTCTGTGTAACGACAAAACAACTATTAAATCAGGAAATTGCCATCAGTACCATATCATCATCCAATCCTTGGACCTCATTCAGGCTCTGCCAGATGTCCCAGTAATGACCTTCAGAGGCAAAGGGTGCGTTCAGAACTCCATGCTGCCTTTAGTTATCTGGTCTCTGTCCTGTCCTTCACTCGAATAGTACCTCAGCTTTTTATTGGCTTTCTTGACCTTGACTCTTTCTGAAGATTACAGGCCAGCTATTTGGGGTGTTTCCTGTGATTAGGATTAATTTATGCATTTCTGGCAGGAACAGCACAGAAGCAATGCCATGTCCCCTCTGCATCTCATCGGGCGGAGCACAGCCTCCCCCCGCCCCATCACCAGTGACACTAATGGACCACGTGTCGCCGGTGGTGTTTGCCAGGCTTTTCCCTGGTAGCATCACTTCCCCGCCCTTCCTCGTTAACTTGTGCCAGTGTAGACTTGTGGTCCCAGCTGCCCTTCACTGGGTTATGACCCATCACTATCGTTACTCCTTCGGATGCGTGAGCGGTCTCAGGCAGGGCCAGCGGGAGCCCCTTCAAGCCGGAGCCTGACTTTCACATGTCCCCCCACACTTGGGCATTTCTTTATTTCCTGGCAGAGTAAGACATTCCAAGGTTGTTTTGTATTTTCCCTACTCCAGCCCAGCCCTGCAGTGGAAAATTATTTTCAAGCTATGATTTGAGTGCCAGGTATGCTCAGTACTATTTTTAAAAATTTTTAAAGAATTTTTATCCTCACTAGGGGACATTTTTCCACCACTTTTAGAGAGAGAGGAAGGGACAGAGAGAATCATCAATGAAAGAGAGACACATCGATTGGTTGCCTCCTACATGCACCTGGACCAGGGATCAAACCTGCAACCTTTCGAGTATGGGACGGTGCTCCAACCCAGTCGCACCAGCCAGGACAATGTGCTCGGACTACTGTGGAGCCACTGGCCCAGGCCATCTCGGTGGCCAGAGCTTGGGACTATTTGCACACGTGTGCATGGACACACACACGTGCACACAACATCTACGTACATGTCTGGATCTAGATACTGGAAACCGAATTCATTCCGTGCCTCAGCATCTGGTCTGACACCACCGATTCCGTCTACTTTCCTCCCTCTTTAGATCTGTAACTCCCTCCTCACATGGCGAGACAAGTGGCTCCCATTTTCCTCAGTGAACAGCCCTTAATTGGGACAGATTTTCTTCTACTTAGACACACTTAAAATTGCATATCAAACAGAAAATGAAATCACTCTGGAGTTCTCCTGCTATTTCAATAGGCATTTTTATTCTTTCAACATGGAAAGTAGAACTATTTGAACTATTTATTCCACATGTAGATGGATTCCTAAAGTTGTGACAATTTAGGTGACACTCATAAGCCTGCAGAACCCATGCTGTGAAGAACCATATCCATGGTGCCCTGTGCTTGCCGGCATATTGGTGCTGCTGTTTGCCATTGAGCGTGTGTACTGTGAGGAAAGAAATGAGTCTATTTGCCTAGGTCAGAGATGGGAGGAGGAAGGAATGCTAATTAACCCCATCTTCTATTTCCATCTTATTTTCCCTGTGAAATGTAGCTAATCTGTTGGCATTTGTTATCAGTATTCACAAGACTCCCAAATCTCCAGCTTCTCTGGACCTCTGCTCACATGTGAGCCTAGATTTCAAGTTCACGATGTAGCCTGGGAAATACCCATTTTAGTAAGCAACCGTAGTGATTTTAATGCCGGCTTCTTGCCTCTAGACAACACAGAATTTCAGGTGTAAGCAAAGTATTGCTTTTGTTCCTGGCTCAGCACCTGGGAAAGAAGATAAGCTCAGCAGTAGGTCCTGGCTCCTGAGTTGCTTGCAAAGAGTTGAGTGTCTAATTGTTTCATTAAAAGAATGCCGTAACATCAGGTCTCTTGCAGATACAAAATAAAGGTGAGAAAAGAGTCTACTGGACTGTGGATGATAATGCCTGAGCTAGAATCACACACTACGTTGTAGCCAGTCGTAATGTGGGGCCTGTAGAAAATGGACAAAGGAATGGTCCCAACTCTGGGAGGAGGTAGATTTATAGGTAGGAAGAGAAACTTACCAGAAAGTAAGACTTTCAAACTTTTTTCCACTTTCCCATAGTAATAACTAGCTTAGCACTTTCCTTTTTGCAGGGGGAAAAAAGCTTTGAATCATGAATGTTTCCTCCAGCTGGCTGCACCACGTGCAATGTTCAAAAAACATGGACTAGCTAATCATAGAGAACCAGCAGCAGCTCAACAGCCCTCTGCTGGCTTCCAAAGGCTTATAATTGAGCGCAGATGGCCCCAGTGGGATGGGGGCTGTGTCCCTGCCGACTCCTCATACCCCGGAGGGCCCAGAGGGGCTCAGGAAGCCTCTCAGCCCTGATTGTGCCCTCGTGGGGGCAAGGAGCCAGGCTGCCGAGGGGGCTCAGGGAAGGCAGGTGGTGCGAGAGCCTCCTGCCCAGCCTCCCAAGGCCACAGGAGTGGGTCTGCACGCAGCAGTTCAGACTCGATGAGTGCAGGGTCTCACGATTACAGAAGGCCTGGGGTGAGTGAGCGAGTTGCAGGTTCTTCATAATCACCTGAAGAGCCTCACTGGGCAGCCTGCCGCGAGGTGCCAGGAGCTTCGGGAAGAGGAATGCAGTGGAAGCACACAGACTGCTCCCCTCAGGGAGCATCCTCCAAGGGGGTGGGCCCTCACAGCCAGCCCCCCCTCCCACCCTGGCCCCTTCACCCTCTTTCCCAATTTCTCTCTTGAAAGTACGTTAGTGATCTTCATTTCCACATCTGTACTCCAAACTTCTCATTGAAACATGATTTTCCTGGGAGCTTAGCTGGAGTCAGCTGGAGTCGGTAAGTTGGGAGTAGACGCCCAGATAACCCAAAGTGGACGCAGGTTTCGGAAGATGAAAGAGAGCTCACCCTTCCTTTGGGCCTAGACCTTCCCTCCCACATGAACTGGAACCCCATCACGTTCAGCTGGCAGCAGAAGTGCTTCTAAACACGTGTTTTCTCCCTACACCATGTGCTCTAACTGGAGTTGCAATAAATTCTGTGCATTTTATGTCCTGTTTCTGAAGCTGACCGCACGCTCCTGTTCTCTCTTCCAAGCTGGCTTGTTTCCGTTTCCCCTCCCTGAGGACCCCCTCACCGCTGGGAAGGAGCTGGCTCGGCCTGTAGTGCGTGTGTTCCCGTGCAATTCCAGGGTTCTCCTTACACCTGGAGCCATCATTCCTGTGGAAGCTGAGGGCATGCGAAAACAGAGCTCCAGGCTTTGATCAAAAAAAGGGGTTGGGGGGCTGGCTATCTCAACAGTTAGAGTCTGTGCTCCAAGGAGTCAGTGCTGGATGTGATCACCCCAAGGGCCCGTGTGCCAGCACAGGGAACGCTGAGCCTGCCCGTGGTGGGCAGCTGTGCCCAGGTGTCGCCCTCACTGCTGGAGACACACCTGCACGTGCTTATCTTCCTGAGGGACCCTCCCAGTCAGGGGAGGGATGGCACATCCCAGGCTGCTCCAGGCCCAGCTGTCACGTCCTTTGTGACAGTCTTGGGCCTCCGCAGCAGGCTGTGACCCGGTGGGGACAGTAGCCTCGCTGGCCCAGAATGGGAAGGAAGGAGTCTTTGCCGCTCGGCTGACTTGGAAGCTGCACCGTTTCCCGCCAATCTGTCCTTTCAACTGAGCCACGGCCAGAGTGGGCTACCTCCTGCCAACCCACAAAATGACACGCAGCCTAATGTCCTGCAGCCCCTGTCCTCACTGCCCTCTGCAGCCCTCCCACCTGCCAGCTTGACTCCCCCAGGAGAGATGGCCTTGGGCTCACTGCTGGGGTTCGCCACAGATGTTCATGGGCGAATGCCTTGTGTTGTTCTCCGTCATTTTTCAAAGCTGGCACTGAGCTGGGTGAGAGGACCCACATCACCCCTGAGCTGTTCCAGGTCCTCCTGGCTGTCTTCCCAGCTGTCTCATCTTTATAAAGAAGGGAGTAATCCCCACGATCTTGGCAGGGACGTGGAGAGCAAGAGACTGCCACCCTTTGCCTTGTGTTTGCCTCCTCCTTCCCTTAATAACAGAGCCCTGGGTTTCATTGGGTGGCACAAGGACTAGCTAAAATGCTACATTTTCAAGTCCCTTTGCAGTAAGGTGTGTCTAGGGAAGTGCACATTAACTGTTGGGCAGCCTGTTAGGAGAGCTCTTTAAACTGACAGAAACCCTTTTTCCCTCTTGGTCTGGCCTCTTCCTGGCTGGAGCTCCTGAGCATGGAAGCTCTGAGCCTAGAAGCTGTGGAGCAGAAAGTTGGGGCAGCCTGTTTGCTGATCACCTTCCGTAGCTGCCACACT